TCTGAGTTTGGTTAGTTTAATTTATACAGATCTCGCCGCAGTGATTTTCCAATAATTTTGACTCACACTGTATATATATATAATTTTTTTTTTACTATCTATTAATATTTTATAGGTTCTTCTGTATTCAATATTGTCTCAATTCTTCATGGCATTGAGTTCACAACTTCTCTTAAAATTTTGATATTAAAATTTGATCACTTCTCTTTTAGAGCTATTTTTAGATTATCAATAGTGCACTAAAAATTATCATACTTCTGGATGTTATCTTTCAATAGCTTCTATATGTTTTTGATAGGATTAAGATCAGGAAAACAAGCTGGCCAGCCCATGACATTAGTTTTCTTTTCATGAACCATTCGTAACACTCTTGATAGTATGAATTGGGGCATTGTCCTATTGAAATATCACAGAAAGACCTAATAATAGGTGTACTGCATTATAGAATGGTGTAAATTGATCTTAAAGAATTTTTAGATAAGTTTTTGCTTTAATTTTTTTTTTTTATATTCATTACAAAATACTAACAGATCTTTTACTTCCTTCACAAAATATCCCCAGACCATCAATGAACATTTATCACTTTTAAAACTTGGTGATAAATATTTTGCATTATATCTTTCACCAGTATGACGCCATACCCTTATCTGACATACGTAATTGTTTTTCTATCTCCATACTAGTTTCATCTAAAAAAAAAATGATGTGCTATCAATTGTATACATTTTTGTTTTTATTTTTTTCACACTAATTTGTTTGTGCGATTGCATTGACTTTTGATATAAAAGGTTTTTTTGCTGCTATACAGGAATAAATTCCTGCATTATATAGCACTTGGGCAGCAGTTGTTAAGTTGCAGCTAAGGTTTAGACTATTGATTATATTCTGTAATGACTTACGTCATTTTTTTGTTGCTTTGCGACAAAGTGCTTTTTTTTCTTGTTGAGTGAAAGCTTGCTATCTTCCAGAACGTGGAAGATTTTCAATTTTTCCAGTCTTATTGTACTTGGCAAGGAACTATCTTATGTTGTAAGATCACATTTCATTTTTCACGCAACTTACTGGGGGCTTATTTCTTCAATGTAGACAAGTATTTTTCCTTTCTCCATGTTGGTTAGCTGAGTGTGGGGACGTGTCATATTGAGCTATTCTTTTTTTTTGTTGTATTTAGTTAACAGTCGAATAAGTAAACAAGAAAAAAGTGAGACCCCTTTTATTCACCCATGTGATTTTATTACCAAATCGGGCGTTACTTTTGATGTCGACAGTACATAATTTAAATTCCCAATTTTTTTTGTTTAAATTGATAAATTGAACAAAAACAGATTTCTTTTGTTAGTGCGCAATATCGATGCAGGTACAATTTTAATATTTTAATTATCGTTATTACAAAAGCGAAATGAGGGATTATCACCATAGGACTTAATTTTGTTAGACCCCTCTGTACATGATTATTTTTAAAACGTTAACTTACCATAAACAATATGATTATGTTACCTTTAATGGTATAATTGCTTAAATAGTATAATTTCCTAAGTTGATGCGATTGGACTTTCTGCAACATAGTTTATCGTAACCTTTTTGAAGTCAGTATCAAGCACCAAAAATAGAAACCATAAAATTCTTTAGTGAAGTTTTTCCGTAAACACCGTTTTAAAAATCCTTAAATCAACCATCTTTTCAGTCATTTCTGTAAATTCATCAAAGATGTCTAACCTCGATCTTCTTAACGCTGCGCTTTCGGCTGTAATGACGGGTCAAAAATTTGTTTCAGAAAAAGGACTTAGCAATTCTACCGTCGATATGCATAAATTTCATCAATTTAATCTTGTTGGAGACCAAATAGATGAAAATTTTGACAATTTCCAAAGGCCAAAAAATGGTATTTTGTTGCGCGTAAAGACACTTACTGGTAAATGTATTATAATAGAAGTTGGAACTCATGCTACCATCAATGAAGTAAAACAAAAAATACAAGATAAAGATGCTACTTCACCAGACCAACAACGCTTAATTTGGAACGGCAGACAATTAGAAGACGGTAGAACTGTATCAGACTATAAAATTGATCATGGATCTACTCTACACCTGGTTTTGCGTCTTCGCGGTGGAGGTATTATTATAAATTACCTAGACCCTGACACCTTGGATTCGCGTTATGATTACGATTTTACAAATATTAATGATAATGGGAAAAAACACTTTCGTGGAGGGATTGAATATCGAAGACCATGTGGATGGAAACGCTTTGCCTTAAAAGTTGTCGGAAAGTATGATGATGGGGATGATAGATGGCTCGGAACCGGTCATAATTCTTGGCCAGTATCGTATCATGGTACTGCAAAGCAAAATGCGAGATCAATTGCAGACGATGGCTATCTGTTAAGTAAGGGAAGGCGCTTTACTTTCGGTCGTGGTATTTATTCAACACCTGATTTGAATGTGGCTGAAAAGTATGCGCCAGAATTTGAATTTGAAGAGAAGAAATATATTATGGTGTTCCAGAACAGAGTGAGCCCATCGGATTTAGTGAAAATTGAGAGTCAGAAAACTGGTCTTGGCGAATATTGGATTTCCCCACGAGAAAGAGACGTCCGGCCATATGGAATATGCATTAAAAGAAAGTAAAGCATCAGTTCGTTTGTCCTGTATTTTTAGTTTCACGATCAATATTATGTAATGATATATCTTACTTCACCTAAAGATATTTACTTGACAAATTTTTCATCTAAATTTTTTTATTAAATTGATAACTATGTTATATTTTAAATAAATTTGTTAGACTTAATTACCACATGGCTTGTTGTCAGTTTCTTGAAATATTAAATTTAAATTAACTAACTTATTCAAGTGCTACAAATATTATTTAAATTAAGACAATTGCAAATATTAAAAATAATAATTATTGAGTAATTCAATTGCTTATATATGTTTATATTATTTATGCTTTTAGTTATTTATTATTTATTTTTATATTCATTGCATTTATCCTTTTGTTTATTTGTTATATTATTGGTTTTCTCTTATTGTAACATGTCATATCTGTTTTTTCAAATATAAAAAAAATGGTAGTCTTTTTTTTTTGATTTGTTTAATATACTCATTGATTTTGTTTGTTTTTATATAATTTATATAAATTATTTATAATTATATTTATAATAATAATTTTTTAAGTATATACAGTATATACGTATATTTTCTGTTACAAAAGTTTTTAAACTGATATTTTTTATTGTAATTCAAATAAATATTTAATAAAAACTTTAATAAAATAATTTTATTATAATAATAATATTATTAAATTTTCATTATTGACTTTTTTCATATATTAATTTTGAGTTATTTTATAATTAAAATATTTAAAAAATTTTAATATAAAAATTTTTTGATTATTTTTATATTATATATATTAAATAATTTCATAAAATTGAAAAGTTTCTTTGTAACAATACTATTGGTAAAAAATTTAAGAAAAAAAAAACTCTTCACAAAAATCTAAACTCACAAAAATTTTCCTTTTTGATAATTTTAAGAACATACATAAATAAATATTATTTTTACCTCAAAGAAATCCAAAGAATTCAACAATTACAAACACAAATCAATTATTAACAAAGGTATCACATCTGTTAAATTGTTTCTGTAACTAATACTTTTTTGCTTGCTTGTTTTTTTAAACAGAACAAAGTTTTATTACAAGAAAAGAAAAAAAAAAGTATACAATTTACAGTAAGTTTAAAGAAAAAGTCAATATCAACTCTTCTAGCTTCTAGCCAGTCATGTATAAGATTCTGCACCTTCCTAGACACTAGAAGGATTTTTGCTAGCCAGATTTCATCTGATAAATCAGGCAACCTTGTCACCCATTTAATTCCGGTAAATGGTGATGTGTTGGCTGTGGAGCAGCGTGGTTTCCAAATAAGGTTGTATAACTGGATTATGGCTTCATTAGCTGCCTCAACCCAATTGGAGAAGTCTGTTAAGGAGAAGATTTTATCTGTGAAGCCGCAGGATAATTCGGCTACTTGCCATATGTCTGAAATTGGTGTTTGATTATTGT